ACTGGCCACCTGTGTATAATGGCCACATGTGTATTGATGAGCACCTGTATACAAGGGGAAAAAAACGTACACTTGTCCACTTTGTTTATTTCATTATTACTTTCCGGGAATCGAAACCATAACTGATGGAAAAGTGAAAAAAAACATGGCGGTTTTAGGGTGAGGCTGGTTACATCTGAAGGTCAAATGCAGTTACGAGTAAGGCTTTTACGCATATCGTTGGCGGGTAAGGAGGTTGAGGCCGTGGGGGGTCGAGTGGAGAGAGAGAGAGAGAGAGAGAGAGAGAGAGAGAGAGAGAGAGAGAGAGAAAGAGAGAGAGAGAGAGAGAGAGAGAGAGAGAAAAAGAGGGAGGGAGGTAGTGGTGCAGACTACGAATTTCTCTGGCTTTCTCGCTGTTGTTTTCTCTCTATCTTTTTTCCCTGTGTTTCTTGATATTTTATACCCTTGCGTTATTATTATTATTCATCGTATCTCTCTCATTCCCTCTGCCTGTCTCTCTTTCTTCGTCTGCCCCTCACCCCCTCGCTCAAAAAAAAAGAAAAAAGAATGAAGCCTTCAAGTGCATATATATATTTCTATAAAAGGAGATGGGGGATAAGGGGGGGGAGGGATACCCAATACCCAGATATACCATACAGCCTCCCCCCCCACCCCCGCTGTGAGCCATCGTGGCCTCAGGCCCCTTTCACCTCGCTGATAATTATGGCCTCAGGTAAGCGAGCGGGGCATCAGGTTGTTGGTTATTGATGATGATGAACTTGGGTGAGTGTGCTCTCTGGTTTTCGCTTGGAAAGGGGGAAAAGTGAGAAGCGATAGGGAGAGGGAGAGGGGAAACGAGAGGGAGAGGGCGAGGGAGAGGGAGAGGGGAAACTAGAGGGAGAGGGCGAGGGAGAGGGAGAGGGAGAGGGCGAGGGAGAGCGAGAGGGGAAACTAGAGGGATAGAACGAGGGAGAGCGAGAGGGGAAACGAGAGGGAGAGGGAGAGGGTGAGGGTGAGGGAGAGGGGAAACGAGAGGGAAAACGAGAGGGAGAGCGAGGGTGCAGGTTATGAAAAGCGAGAGGAAGGGAAGGGGTGAGGGAGAGCATAAGGAAAAGGGATAGGGAGAATGAAAGGGGAAGGAGAATGGGAGGGTGTGGGTGAGAGAGAGAGAGAGGGGAGGAGACGAGAATGAGAGCGAGAGGGCGAGGGTGCGAGTTATGAAAAGCGAGAGAAGGGAAGGAGAGGAAGGAGAGGAGAGGGTGAGGGAGAGCATAAGGAAGGGATAGGGAGAACGAAAGGGGAAGGAGAATGTGAGGGTGTGGGTGAGAGAGAGAGGGCGATGTAGTGAGAGAGGGAGACAAGGAGAGAGATAGAAAGTGAGGAGGAGAGAGACGGACGGACGCTCGGATGATGTTCACGTCATTTTAATTTTCACGTATGCTTTCGGTGAAATGGGTAAACGAGACTTAGTTTCCATTTTACCTTTTCTTAATCCAAGAAAAGAAAAAAAAGAAAAGGATGGAAGAAAGAAAAAAATATATATATAAATACGTTAATAGTTTATGAGAAAGATCCAGTAAAATCAAGTGTTATAAAACTACGAAGGAAAAGATGATTTCAGCCAAATTTTACTCAAGCGAAATTTGTCCGTCGTACCGCTAGCGAGAGAGGCGGAGGCGGCAGTAGCGGTCACCGTCGCGCGGAGGAGGGAGAGGAGGGGGTAAGGAGAGAGGAGAGAGAGCAGAGGGGAGGGGTGGGGGGTAAGGAGAGAGGAGAGAGAGCAGAGGGGAGAGGAGGGGGTAAGGAGAGAGGAGAGAGAGCAGAGGGGAGGGGTGGGGGTAAGGAGAGAGGAGAGAGAGCAGAGGGGAGGGGTGGGGGTAAGGAGAGAGGAGAGAGAGCAGAGGGGAGTGGTGGGTAAGAGAGAGGAGCGTAGATAGGGATGAATGGAATGGGACGAGAGGATTGAGGGGTAAAGGGAGAGGGAAGGGGGAAGAGAGAGGGAGGAGGAGGAGAAGGCAAGAAAGGAAGGGGAGGAAGTAGAAAAAAAACGATGGTGAAGAACAGGAGACAGGAGGAAGAGGGTGAGGGAGGAATACGGGGAGAGGGAGAGAGAGGGTGGGAGAAGAAAAAGGTAAGTCAAGAGGGAGTGGGGAGGGCAGGAGGCCGAGAAGGGAGGGGCGCAGGACGTTAGAGGAAGGGAGGGACGGGGAGGAAGGGGAACCGGCCCTACCTGTTCTTGAAGTAGAATTTGACCTTTGGCCCGAGGGTCATGCGACCTTCCCGATGACCTAAGTTAAAAAAAAAAAACTTTCTAGAGTGAGAGTTGTCCTGGTAATTAGGGAAAAAATAGAAAGGAGAGAAGGGGGAGGGAGGGACGGAGGGAGAGAGGAAAAGTAAGAGAATGGGGCGTAGGGAAGGAGTGAGAGAAGCAGGAAGAGAGGGAGAGAGAAGAACAGGAGGATGTGGAAAGAGAAGAGTGAAGGAGGAAAGGTAGACGGTAGAAGGGAAGGAGGGAGAGAGGAAAATCGGTAAGGGGGGGAGGGAAGGAAGGAGAGAGGAAGGGAGGGGGGGAGGGGGATTGGCGCGTGTTGAGGTTTTAGGAGGTTGCCAAGTTCAGAATAAAGTGAAAGTTTGTTCTAATTCTTTTTTTCACATTTCGCGTTTCTACATAACGCACCAAGGGGAAACTCAGAATGAAAAAGAATGAAAAAAAAAAAACTTTTTTACATCTGAAATACTTCATCTCCTATCTCGATTTCACACTTCATATAAGTCTCACATAAAAATGAAACAAATGAGAAAAAGCGTATTTGCAACAAAAAATGAAAATTAAAAAAATTCCACAGCGTCACCAACGGAACCCTGACCCAACTAAAGCTGGGAAAGTTGTCGTGAATTTAGCTTCGTGTAGGCGGAAGGCTAGCGAGAGAGAGAGAGAGAGAGAGAGAGAGAGAGAGAGAGAGAGAGAGAGAGAGAGAGAGAGAGAGAGAGAGAGAGAGAGAGAGAGAGAGAGAGAGAAACAGACAGACAGACAGAGAGAGAGACAGACAGACAGAGAGACAAAGAGAGAGAGACAGAGAGAGAGAGACAGACAGACAGACAGACAGAGACAGAGACAGATAAACCGACAGACAGAGAATGAGAATGAGAAAGAGAAAGAAAAATTCAACATTCCCCCCTAAAATGCAAAGAAACACCCGTACAGACCCCGCAAAAACACATTCCTTCCCATTCCTAACCGAGCGCAAAACACAGCCCAACTCCCGCCCCCGAGCCAGGCCAAGCAACACAGCAAAACGCGACGCCGGGGAAACGGAGAAGTGTCGCAAGCCGTGAGTGAGTGTATGCAAATCTTTTCTCCGCTGTGATTGGGGGTATTATGATGCCTCCGTGATATTGCATAGTTCCGCACGTGGCTTGGCTCGGTGCAAGGTCACGCGGAGTGCTTATGTGTGTGTGTGCGTGTGTGCGTGTGTGCGTGTGTGTATGTGTATGTGTGTGTGTGTGTGTGTGTGTGTGTGTGTGTGTGTGTGTGTGTGTGTGTGTGTGTGTGTGTGTGTGTGTGTGTGTGTGTGTGGTAGCGTGAGTGCATTGAGCGTGTTCTGGGCTTGTGTGGGTGATCGTGTGTGTGCTTTCGTACGGTATTTATGTGTGTCTGTACAGTTATACACGAATGCGTATATATGTATGCATGTATGCGTGTGTGTATATGTGTGTGTGTGTGTGTGTGTGTGTGTGTGTGTGTGTGTGTGTGTGTGTGTGTGTGTGTGTGTGTGTGTGTGTGTGTGTGTGTAGAAACGCGCGGTTATGTCTGGTTTTTATTTGTTTATGTGTAAATGTGTTATAGTTCGTTGTCAGCGTGCAATCGACCACATAGTGAACTAAGTACCAAACACTATATTTAGCCTCCTACTATTTTCTTGCTTGTGCAGGCATGTTATAGTTGTTAACGGTACATTTCATCTCTCTCTTGATTTCAGACATTCTTGATAATCGCAAAAAATAAGTAAACACATTATTTAAACACATCAGCCAAGATTTTCATAGATAAGACCACAGATATATATTTTCGGAAATTCGGGCGTTACAGAGCAAATTATTAATGAAAATGCAAGAACGGCGTAGTGCCAAGACGTAGCAGTCATTCAACCTTCCAGAACAGGTGTGCCATTCGCCGTTGAGTTGCCGGCGAGCATTTTTACCCTCTTCCTCTTCTTCGTTTTTGGAAATAGCTTGATATAAACGTCCAAATTTGATATGAAAATCGTATTAGTGTATGATATTGTTATAAGTGATTATGAAATCATATTATTCGTCATTTTAACCTGACTTAGCCTCGAATAATTATCCGGAAGTATTTGTACCTGGCAACTATATAACGGATAACGGTCCTTGCGGAAGGAGAGGAAAATCCTGCGTGCAGGGGAAGGTAGAGGAGGGACCTCAGATGTAAAGATGGATAATTTGGGTACATTTTGATTATAAGAGACATCTTGACAGATTAGGAGGGTTAAAACAAGTGAGCTCATCCCTGCTTCTTTTATCTGTCTGCCTGTCTCCCCGTCACTCTCTCAATCTTCCTTTTCCTTTCTTTCGCCTCTCCTTTTTTTGAGTCTGACCATCCGCCATGCAGTTCAACCTTCCTCCCCCAACATCTTCCACCACAAAGCAAATTATAACACTTCTATCGCTAGGGATACAAAACATCCCATGACCTTTCATCTCCTATATTCAAGGTCACTCTCTTCCCTTTCCCTTCCCAGTTCATGCCCCTCCGTCTCCTCCACTTTCATTCTCCTCCGTTACCTTCTCTCCTCATTCTTCTCCACCCACTCCACCTCCACCTCCATCTCCATCTCCTAGTTCCACCTTGCCCACCGCCTCTTTTGGCCTTCCGACCCCCCAATCCCTCTCCAGCGCCATCCCCAAACCCCCTAATACGAACCTCACTCAAACCCCAACACGATCCCTCTTTGCATTAATACTCCTCGTATTAATACTGTGCTACGACCTTCACTTAGGTGGCGGAGGTCGCCAGGCCGAGCAGCCGAACGACCACAGACGACTTCTCGATTCGACAGTACATG